GGAGCGTACCGAAAAAACACATCGTATTATTCTTATCTCTGTCGGACACACCGACCCGGTTGTTTTGGAACTTGCACCGAGCCGTTCTATCGATTGCTTCCGATGATACGTACTTCTACATTACCGAATACATCCAAATACTGCGTTACGAAACTCCACTTTTGCGTAACATTTACGTTCTTAGTTACCTTATTCGCTACCCATTTTTATTTTGCTGTGCCTCCCCTGTCGCCGCCATATTTTTTATGGTTACGTTTACTTCCGTATTTTCTAAATACCTGACTTACTGCTTACACTTGATATATTTCTGTTACGTTATAACTTTTGTTATTACAGTATATTACATTATTTATAAATAATATGATGTAAATAGTCCAGAACGTTCGATTTTTAAAAACTCCGTCGAATAATGTGGGTTATCGGTTAGTGAACATTCGTAATTCGGTTAGTCAGTTGCTCTTAAATTAAAATCAGACCTGTCTTTATATGTCACATCTTTACAGCATGACCGCAATTACTGTACTCAACATCACGATTAGTAGTTATGTAGTATACATATTTATAACATTTCTATGGTTTCAAAAGAAAATGTGTACACTGACACCAAAAAGTGCAGGTTTTAAAATTTGTAGATAATAATAAAAAATTAGCACAGTTCTTCCATTTTAGCGATGAGAAAAGCCTCTACAATTTGCTTTTTTAACAAATTATTAGTTATAGATTAAATAAATAAAAAAAAGTTCAGACCTTGTGCTAAGTTTATAATTTTAAATAAAATAATGTTCTAAAATGTAAATGATGTGAATATTATAAATTATGACATGCACTGTTCGATACATTTGACATTTGATAATGAAGCAGCGGTACAAATATAACACCTCCAGAATCACATTTTGAACGAGTTATTTACATACTCGACAACATTTACGTGGAACTAAGGATGTACGTTACAAAAAAGAATTAGAAATCTCTCGAGGGGTTGTTGTTTTAGAAATGTTTCCTTTGCCATGTTCCAAGAATTATTTGTAAAGTGAATAAATTAGTGGTAGGTTGCAAAGCTGCAAACTCACAGTTGAATGAATTGTAGGTGTTTGAATTATTTTGATATCAGAAATCAGAACTGACGCTAAACTGAGAACAATAAGGGCATATAGATTCGTTTTTATTTCTATTGTCTTATTGCGGAGTTACGGTTAAGCGAATTCAACCGACACACTCTAATGACATGCAAATATTTAATCTGCCTGGTTTTTCCTTTTTCTTTATTTGTTGTGTCACGTGTTCCTTTATGTCCTGGCCTTCGTAAAATCATTACCTGTCTAATTACATTGGAAACACATTAAGAATCGATTTCCATTCGCATTAATGGAGTCAGTTATGGCACTTTAACAGGTGACTAGGTGCAAATGAGCTATGATGACATCATAAGGGTCAATTCAGAGTGGTATAATTATCTGCGTTATTTTATAATAGCAAATGTTGCAGATCCTATATATTGGCTATTTGTGGTCGGTACTAACAATAATAATTTAGACCCTCCATTCATTTTAAAACCATATTGAATTGGTAATGTCGAATCTGCTAAGCAACGTTCACAGAAGTGTAGAACTTGTTGAAATTATTAATTGCCACTTGCGAAATTTTGTGTTAAGATTATTTGGTTATAAATTAAAGCGATAACAATAATTATTCAAGGACCATTAAATTTGGAAGAAAAAGTCTGGAAGATGTGGAGAAAAAACTGAGAAAAAATTCAGCTACTGATTTACTAGTGTCACCTACAAGTTACAGTTTGAAAATGTAATAAATAGAAAAAAATACCAGCCTTCTTAAATTATGCATATTAATGTGATTATTAATAAATTTGCATATACTTAAAAGTTATAAATTATTTTTGTGTAAGTAATTTTAATGTTCACACATCCTTCTGTCTTTATTCTTTTTTAAAAGCAAAAGAAAACCAGTTTAAGTTTACTTATATTTGTCGGTTTCTTCCTAAGTTCTTCTTCTTTGTTAAATTTGATGGAATATTAAATTTCACCCGTCTTCAACTATTTGATGTTTTCAGCGGATATTGCAGTTCCTTGTTTTATTCGTTATAACTTTTATTAGACCGCACAGTCATTTTGTAATCATCTTTTGATTGATTTTGATTACAATTACAGCTCTTCTACCATATTATGGGTGGTATCATTTGAAAAATGAATGTGCGTTAGTGATGGAGTTAAATTTTTAAATATGTATTGTAAAGTAATATACCTTTTTACTATTTAGTTTTGAAGGTGGAACTAGATCACGAAGATTTTATTTGACAAACACACGAATTAATTTTACTATCGTGTGGATAAATTTATATGTAAATCACAGCAGTGTTTGCTTGTACTCATGCTACAATAATTCTTCAATAAACGTTTTTTACGAGTGCTTCAAAAAGTAAGTACTTTTGTAGAGTAGTTACAGGTATTTCAAAAATCTAGATTGGCAAAATTGAAAGGACAGTGACCATAATACGAGGATATGAGAGAAATATGTATATGTATATTTTTATTTTTGGTTTTTATTTATCTTGGTGCTGATCGTACAAATATGAAAAAAATGTGTGAAAAACTCATTGTAAAGTAGTTCCGAGTATCGCAGTTTACGAAGAAAACTAGCTACTAAACAGTAAAACAGATATAGGTATCATGGACACCTAACTTGTAAGGAATAATTACCAATTTTCATGTAGACTGTTCTTGAGATCTGTACACAATAAGGGTTTTTATCACGCTTTTATTAGCTTGGGTTGTATGTATCTATGTATGTATGTATGTAACGGAATCTTTGAGCTTAATTTTCATCGGTTTCTAAAAGTCTGATCATCTTGAAACTTTGCACACGTCTCAAGGATCGATGACAATGCAATAATTTGATAACAGTTTCCCATTATCCTTATTAGGACCGCCAGGATCCTCGATCCTACGGAGACCACTGAGTGGTTCTTTCTAGAAAAATCTAAATAAGTAATTAATTCCCCAATTTATGAATTTGTCGCAGACTAAAAAATGAAAAATAAATAATAGTTTAAAAAACTAAAAAAACACGCTTTTATTGCTAATCGAACTAAAAACTAGAAAATAATTTTTAATGACAGAGTTTAATATTACAGTAGTAGAAGATCAAACAATCAATCATAATAAATTACCTCAAATTAAAATTATAATAAAATTTAAGTTATTAACAGAATAATTCAATTCAGAGTAAAAAGCGTGGGGTGCTTGATATTTTAAATATTACAATCATCATATTGGCAACTATCTATGAGAGGATAGTTATGAACCGCAGTAAAATGCACCCCACGCTTTTTACTCTGAATTGAAATATTCTGTTAATAACTTAAATTTTATTATAATTTTAATTTGAGGTGATTTATTATGATTGATTGTTTGATCTTCTACTACTGTAATATTAAACTCTGTCATTAAAAATTATTTTCTAGTTTTTAGTTCGATTAGCAATAAAAGCGTGTTTTTTTAGTTTTTTAAACTATTATTTATTTAAACGTACTTTTAAAGTGAGTACGTTTTTTTTTCCAGAGAACTAGAACTGATAAGTTTACAAAAACTGAGTAATTTATAATCGTTGCTCATGATAGTCAAGCCTGTAAAACAATTAATGTTTCGATATTTATGCAAGGCTTTTATAAATGATTCGTCCATTTGAGTGGGCACTGTTTTGTTTCTTATCTTTCGAAATGTTTAACTATATTGGCAACGAAAAGGCCAAATGTAATAATTATTCTGACAGATGACTTGTTAACCATGCTATTTAAAACTTTAAAAATGTATACCATTACTAAGACGTGGCAAATCTGTAGCATTTGTAAATTTCACAGATCATTAAATGTTCGAAACATGTATGAAACCCCCGTATATTATATTATGCTCTCTCAAGTATGGCCCTTTATTTCAGTGCTATATTGTATATTTTATTTTAACTATTTAACACCGTTTTGTGCGAGCAATACAATACAGGATATACAGTAACATTTTATTATACGACTATATTATATAGACTGACGCATATACATATAGAAAGATTGCAAAGAAAATGTGTCTGGAGTTTTCATGGAATTAATTAATGCCCTTCCGGTTTTATTGGAAATAAAGATGTTTTTTGTTTCTCAAACTAGACAAGTGTTTTATAAAATTTGTTTAGAAATATTATGCTCATTAACACCGTGTCACGAAAATAACAGGTTTCGAAATAAGCTTTTGGAGTAATTTCGTGTGAAATAAAACATTTGACAAGTGAATTCTAGAAACAAGGACTGAATAATCGTTTTCTTCATTCCGGAGTCCTGTTTACACGTGACACCTATATTTATTCAAAGTATTTTCTAAAGTGATGTGGATTTAATTTTTATATATACATAAAATAATTGCTTTTGAAAAAAAAAATAAATAAAAAAGAGATGTAAAAAACAAGAGTCTTTGTTATTATTCATGAAGGGCTGTGGTCAATTTTAAGTGCTTCTAAAGTTTTGTGTACATTTTAAGTAAGAAAAAAGAAATTTCATCGTTCCTTTGAAATAAACAAAGACTCTACATATATATTATTTTTAATGCTTTTCACATGTGGAGAAAATGAGTTGCTTTACAACAAATGTCATTTGAAACCTTACAATCACGTTCCTAGTATTTGTTTTATTTAAATATAATGTGATGCGACGTTTTACTTGTATTGTAATCAAAAGAAAAATTACCGTATCATCCAGGACGAACGCGATTATGCTCTTTGTAGCGAAATTTGGCCGGTCTTCTAGGTGCTTAACTCTAACCGTTTTGCTTACGAAGTAGCAGATCGGAACTTGTGGTTAAATATAAATTTTCAACACTGCATAGTAGCATACTTATTGCTTGAATCATTTACTGCTTTCGTAAGACCTGCCACATTTCCGCGAAAAGAGTTTTCTTTTTTTTTATTATTTTCATATTTTTATCATTTTGGTGTATTTGAAGGTATGGCCGCGTGCAGAGTGTCAAATTGTTGCCGAGGGGCGCCAAGGAGGAGGCGGGCGAGAGCGCGATGGCGTGTACGGTGGCGTTCATGGACATCAAAAGTGCGTCCAAAGCCCACAACGCCGAACATAAAATTGACGATAGGACTCTGACCACGGAGTACTACGAACCTGCTGCCATTCCGTCCGCTGCTTCACCGCAGAACACGCCCTCCTCGTATTCTACCTCTCCGGGTAGCACCAGATTTCCCAACGGCCACGGGTGAGTTCAGCAAATAAAAAAAAAACAGCGATAAGAGTGGGACTGCAATTAAACGCGACGGTGATAAAAAAGGTTGTATTTCTTGCTATAAAGTTCAGGAAATAGAAGAGGAAGGTTGGAGATGATTAGACTGGTGGTGGTTCATGTCATGAGGGACGTTGGGAATTTTCTAAGTAAAGAAATACACCATATGTGTCTTTTAATTTGAATTTTTTGGTTTTATGTAACAGTAATTTTGTTACTTTCCTATTTTTTAGCAGCGTATGTAGTCGTTAGTAATCAGCTGATGCAATGACATTGTTGGCAAATTGCCGGACAACGAACGGTACGTGTATTTTTTTTCCGGAAAGTAGGGCATCCATCTATGCAAATAGCAAATATCGATTTATATATCTGAATTACAGATTGTCAGACACTACATCTCAACACCTTTGTAATCCAGAAAAAACTAAAAACAACCAAATTCAACTGACATTGATTTATAATACAGCACTTTTTTTGGGGTTTTATTTAATACATACTAAAAGTCTTTACAGATTGGAGTGTGGAAATACCACTATAAACAACAAAGAAAAGCAGGCGTATTTAATTTATGATATATATTTTGATAAATGATTAAAAAATATAAAAGTGCTTTTAAAGAAAATTGCAATGTTTAATATTTTCTAAAAGAAATTCGCTTAAAAATTCCCTTGGATGTACCCTGTGTGATTTATGAAAGTTACAAACAATATTTCCTTCTATATATTTATATATCCACGATCTATATTTCTACAGGTTAATGAATATTAATCTTTAATTAGTTACCGCTTTGAATTTTGTTTGCAAATGGAACTTATAGTAATACTTTTTAAGAAGGCTATACAATACCATTAACGCTTGAACTGTCAGTGACAGGTATCAAGGTACATCATACAGGTTATTTACAACTGTGAGTTTTGCTGCACTGTGTACCTGTTGTCGATCGACTTCACACTGTACGAATTTTACAGAAGTTGTTTCTTTGACTTTGGCGCTTTGGTAGCATAAAAAGTGGTTTTATAAAAAAATTCAATAACCCTTTTATAAATGTTCTGGAGATATTGTGAAGATTTTGTTTCGAGTTACGCATTCGATGTATTTACAAAATTAAAATTACCCGTCAGTTTTGCTCCTTGTGGAAATGTTTTGACGCTCACATTTTCTCTAACTTTTGTGTGAAACGGATTGATAGTGGGATGCTAGCCTATGGTAAATCTCGAGTTTACCGTGTTGCAGATTCATTACAGACATTCCCAATTCCTGAGGGAGTCTGTGCACAAAGCTTGCGTATCATGTGGTGAATAAAGATTTTTGCAGTTTTCATATTTTTTGTAATGAGAAGTCCACTCTTAATTTTTTAACAGTTTGTCACCAGATTTTCGTAATTGTAATGTTACTTGGTGGCATTAATATTTTTAACACTTTCTCAAACAGAAAAAAGCTTTCATTGATATTCGACCAAAATATATTTTTGAGGTTTCAGCTAAAAGGAGAACTTTTATCATTGAGAATTTTCAAGTCAACTATCTACAGAGTTGTGTTGTTATGTACACGTTGCATTTGTTAAAAAAAAAAAGAAGAGTCCTTGACAGTAAATCCTTTCTTAAATTGTTAAGTTTAAGCGGTTAAACACCAATCATCATATCGAGAGTTGGAATTTAAAAAATGCTAGCCTTTTGTGTTTGTCAGCTTAATAATACGTGATTTAAGTTTACAATGTTACACTACTTCTATTTACATACATATGCTATTTTTATCTTCAAAACTGGCTTCATATACCGCCGTATGCCTGTACAGTGCACGGGTATGCATTAACGTGAATACCCGACTTAAGGAGTACACTTTCTTGTCTTTTAATAACATGCAAATAGTTAATCAAATTTCTGTCTGTGAAATTATTAATATTAAAGTTATAATATATTATAATAGTGTTAAGACTTATACAACTCTTGGAAAATTTTTCTTTTTTGTTTGCATACCTTGCAAAAATATTTTCAAGTCATTTATATTTTAGAATTTTTAGTATTTTTTTTTCAACAGGGTATTTGATTTTCGTCGCTTCAAATCGTTATATCCTACTTATTTTTCGATCACTTTGTTTGGGAAACTACACAAAACAACAATAGGATGGTACATTTGTCCCTTGTATAATAATTAGTCTGAGCACTTAGAGTACATTGTACATAAATACACGATATTTAAAATTCTTACAAAAATTTACAGTTACTGTCTTCTTAGTGTTTGTTGTGATTTTGAAGGATTGTTCATAGTTTAGCCCCCTATAGGTGTATCAGTTTTCTTTTATAGTTTGATAAGTTTTATCATTCTTATCCGTATTTTGCGATCATAATAATAACACCGTAGGCATCACCGTCTACTTTTATGGGTCGTAAAAACTAGTCACACACCATTAATTATAAATTCAAGTAACGGAAAATGCAATAATAACATGATAAGATAAAGATAAGCAAAGTGGATTGGCTTAAATTCTGTTGACTGCATTAATGTTTTACGCTATTAATTGGTTTTATGAAAGTTTAATTAAAATTGTGTTTTTAAGTTTTTATTGCTGCAACAGAATTTGCCAGGGTCTCAATTTGTATTAAATTTTAATAATATGAAAGGTTCTGCTAATTCATTAGTCATTACGTTTACTGTTAATTTGAATCTTGGACCCATTTTATTTACCATTTTTATGTTGATTTTGAAAATGCTTCTTACATCCGCGTTGACAGAAAAGATCAGAAGATCGTTACGTTATAAATATAATATGAATTTGTAAATAACTTGCTCCTATTTTAATGAAAAATATTAATTCTGATTTTCCTAATCTACCAACGTTCATTAACTTTATTCATTTTGTTTTATTACACCAATGATCAGTGATAAATATGTCGCGATGATTATTTTGACAATTCTCGATTAGTCTTACTAAAGAAGTGTCAATTTTAAAGCTTCTGGTCTAGATGACAAACCGCTTTTTCACTTTGTCCTGGCAGATTTTTTTTGGAGCAATATTAAAAACTCCATTTATAGATTAGTGTATCTCTACCACTTAGTTAGCCCCAGGAAGAATGTTACGCAAAGCTTGTAAATATATTATAAAGGAGTATGTTTTTCTTAATTTAGCCATCTGTTGATGTGTCATTTTGATATACTAAAAACTTTACCATTATTTGTTAAAAAATCTTTTAGTTTTTCAAGAATGTGGACGATTGCGATTTACTGCAGGCAAATAATATAATTGTTCTAGATAATACAGCAATAATAAAAAAAATACTATTATGTATTTTAAAAATAAGCTTTTTGGTTTAGGACATAGGTAACAATTCTAAATTTATTATAAGGTTATAGGTGTTCAGAATTTCAAAATGCAGTGTACTCATTTGTGTTGGAAAAGGTATTAATCTTCACAACTATGTCTTTTTCGAAGAAAGAGTTTGTTCATTGTATACAGCTGTTTCTAGTTTTTAATTTTTGAAAATTTATACAACAGGCCATTGCAGTATAGTATCAGATGAACTGGATTTATGTATATTTTAACTAAAATTTACTTTTGACAAAGATATTAGAAGAATAAAATAATACGTAATTACGTAATACGAAGATAAATTTACATTTCAGAACAATTTTGAGATTTTCTACCTGTGACCGAGAACCACCTGAAGGATATTTATTGTTGACCAGTCTTTCGTTCCAATGGCTTCACAAATCTCTAAAGACGAATGACTACTTTAATGTCTTCTTGTTATTTTATGACCGCCCCAGTACGAAAAAATAGGTATCCCGTTTTTGTCTCTCTCTCTCTCTGCTGTTTGTCTGTCGATTTTTATTAGACCGATCATGTCGGAAACTGCTAGATCGATAATTGTAAAATTTTATACATATGTTTAGTGTAGATGGTAAAATACCAATCGAAATTTGTCTAATCATCGCTACCAACAATTAAATGACGTAAACAAATTCCTGTACTTGTGGTTTTTGAATCCGCCTTGATCTCTGTCACAATTATTTCACAACAATTTTTGTGCAATATTTTGCCAGTGTCATACTCCTGATTTTTGGGAAACGCGCATAACCAACTCTTGCTGGACGTCTGGATTTTTCCGCACCTTACCATACTTCAATTCTGCTCACATATTGAATTTATTTTGATGTTTTGCCTCGAGATGCGAAGGAAGTCCTTTATAAGTAACTTTGGACCAATTTTTTAATGGTTTGACTTGTAAAATAGTACAGCACGACTAAGTCATTCTCGAAATGGTAATTCAGATTTACAGAAATGCTTATACACCTATGTACATAGTATGTGTTTTATTAAAATTTAGTTGAAAGCATCTTTTGAAAAATCTTTAGGAAACTAAAATACGATCCAGGGAGAATGTGAAATATACGTTTGTTTTGTAAGAGTACGGTGGCTAAAAGAAGTAATAAAATTGAAAATATTTTAAAATCTTGTGGTACGGGTAGAAGTCTCCCAAAACTTCGAAAAATTATAATTAAGTAATTTTTTGTGACAATATGCCAACAGCGTAGATAATTATGAAATCAGTTTATCGTAATTTTATAGTCGGGGTTCCGGGTACATGATTGTTACGAGAAGTAATACAATATTTATTTACTAAAATGTTTTATAATTTCTTGGTTTTATAACAAACTGATTGTAGATAATTTGGTTACATCTTGGTTAACCCTCGTGCATTAATTTTCTTGACAACTTTTCACCCGTTCTTATATTTGCTTGGTACTGCCTTCCATGTGTAATGTGGTTGATTTATTTGGATTGTTGTATAAAGAGGATTTACATCACTTTCACGGTATCTTTTATTCTATTTTTAATTTGGCTGTCATAACGTGATCTATAGTTAATTTTTTTCCAGTGGTTTAGATCGCATCCATTTTCTCACACAAAAACAACTTCAAACTTAATAAGCTTACTTAAAATTTTTGAAGGTTTTGTAACGTTAACCAACATAACC